CCAATTATGCACAAAATTCAAACTTGCACTGTGATCACTGATAAATTATAAGCTAATGATTGATTTATCTAAAGCACAGATACTCAATGCTATGCAAAAGATGAGGGTTGTAATTCTCAAATGCCTTTAATCTAATCCATTACTCTAACTAATCCCATAGTTTTCTGCTTAAACAGACCTCTTACCTCTTTGTTAATCACTTCAGAGCCAACTACTTTTGATAGAGTCATGGACATAGTGGGTGACTGTGGTCTTATGCAACTCACTCTGTGCCTCAACGTCTTTTGTTTGCAAAGCTTGCAGAAGAATTTGCTCAACCTTCGATCACACCACCCCACAGTGGAGATAGAGGATCTCACTGAGTGTTTTTTGGCTCCAGGACAGACAGGCTTGCAGTTACTGTCATGCTAAGGCAAGCAGCAACAGCAGCAGCAAAAAAAAAGAAAAAAAAGTAACAATCCAGATCAGAGTGGTGCTTCTTTTGGCCTTTAACATCTGGCTACAAGGGCATTCATCCACCAGCACCCTGACAGCAAGGAGAGTGAACAATTGGCCCAAGCAGCCATCCAACTCAGAGCCAAGATCCGAGACTTCACACAGATCAACAACTCCCTGACCGCAACAAAAAGGGATCACTGTGACACTTAGCTAACTGACATAGCACTATGGCAGGGTCGGCTGCCAAAGGATCATGCTTAAGCCCCGAAAGCCATTCTCGCTGTCAACAATTAGACAAAAATCAATCAAATCAGTCAAGATGCAGTCAACATAGTCACAAAAGACAAACAAAAAGAAAAAAAGGCTTAACTGGTTATTTCTTATCATATCCCTGGTCGTTTTCCTTTGGCACAAGCCCAGAATGGATGGAAGGAAATTTATTTAGAGGGGGAAAACCCCTTACAATATTCACACATTATTTTACACAAGAAAACAGGATATCAAAAAGGTGGAACTACAACGACCACTGTCACGTAAATGGCCATTGATCCCCAGTATATATAACACACAAAGCCACAAATGTAAATATTTGCAGTTTACTGGCACGTTTAAAAAGTTTCTAAAAGCTTAAAAGGCCACTTAATATGAAGCGTTTTACAACCCAATAAGCAAATCATTTAGAAATAGTGCAACATTTTAGACTAGAAGCAAAAATATTTTCTTGTTCAATCTTTTTAATTTATAGTTTACTCTAAAGCAAAAAACAAAAAGCACAACAACCAAAGGATAACGTGATTAAAACGTTTAAAGAATCCTTGTTCAGCTGTTGAGTTTCCTCATTTGTGAGACCATGCAATAACAGCCATTTTGTTGCAAACTACAGAGAGCATTGCTGGAATTGCAAACATTTAAATGTTAAACAGTGTCGTAAAGCAGGCGGTGGTTTTGGAAATGTTTTTGTCAAACAGGATTAGCTGACTTTGTGTCGATACTACTTTCGGTTGGGGGAGTTATATATGGACCTCTGTACTTTATAAATACCTTTCCTCCCACTTGTTTACATGCCCCGTCACAAGATTTCCATTAATGGCTCAATAATGTAGCAAACCACGTGTTTTCTATCGTTAAGTCAGCACTCTATAACCAACATGGACGGGAGGAGGGGGGTACAAATGCATGTGAGCTGCAGCTAACCATGTTAGCAGGCTCGGCTGCTAGCAAGAGACACAGGGAGGGACCGGGAGTAAGTGTGCCGTATCTTGCCTGCAAACACGGCTCACGCATGCTGCTGGACTTTAGAAACTGAAGTCACATTAGTAACGGCTTGGCAACGACATATAGTGTTAAGGAACTTTAAAGCAACTTCTCACACTTCGTCTGCTAAAAGCGCTTGTTTTCAAAGCCCGACAATTGATCGTCTAAACACCCACCGTTTGTTTCGATCGACCGCACTTCAAATGAGAACTTGATCAGCTGTAACGAAGTAACCCGAAGCCAGAGCAAAAACAAACAACCAAAAACATGTCTGTGCAATTAATGCAACGTAAAGGGCACAAAATGGGCATCATGTTTATTTATTTGCATATTTTTTTAAAACTACGTGGTTTCTTTTTCTGGACTGATACTGAACGTGTGATCTCCGGAAGCACATGTCACTTGACTATTGTAGCGCGCCCAAGCGTCGGGTACCGCTGTTAGCAAACTGCGTTTCCACTCAAAGTGACGAGATAAGAGGTTAGCAGCAGGGCCACACTTTACTTAACTGCAATTTATTGTGGTCACATGCCTGTATTACCCAAGTTAGGCTAGCAACTTAAACTCCAGGTGAGCGTATCCTCACCGCTTGCCTGATTAGCAACGTTAGCATCCCAGTTTGCTCGTTTAGCTAGCGTTAGCTAACTCTCAACTAGCCTTCAACTGTTGTGTTCGCCTCGCCTGCTTAAAAAAATAAAAATGCCAGTCGGTGTTTACGATGTGGAAGAGGCGAGGCGGGAACTCGGCACATGTCTTTAGCTGATTTACTTACATTGTGTCGCTCGAAGTCATTAACCGACTTTCGGTGAGAGGGAGGAAATCCAGGTTGTACGCCGAAGTCATGCTCCAAAAAAAAAAAGAAAAACACACACAGCGTCTAAACAACGAAAAGCGACGTCCACTCAACTCCTGCGAGACGGCGAGAAGACGAAGCGGAGCAGGTGCTGGGAGGGGGCGTCTTCTTTAAAACTGCAGAGAGGGAGGGAGGGAGATATATAGAGAGCGCGAGGGCACCGGTATCCGCCTTATTCCTTCCTTCTTGTTTCTCTCTCTCTCTCTCGCTGTCTCCGAGCGAAATAAATTCAGGCGAGCCGCCGTCAACACTGCACACCGAGCTGCAGCAAAGCAGAGGCGTGGCCTCGTCAACAAAAGTCCGAAAGACACGCTGCGTGTTGCTCAACAATCTAAATGCCCCTATCTAAATGACTGCAATGTCCCTTTAGAGACCACACGTGGTGCCCTATGGAGAGTTTACTAACCTGTTTTCTAGTTTGCGATCTTTTATCTGCTGTAGCATCGCCATTGCATTCCAATAATGACCCACATTCTGCAACCCTTTTACAAAAAACAAAAACGCGTATTAATCAGATCATGTCGAGCCTTATTGTGAAATGAGTCTATCTGAGAATGAATCTGTGATCTAATAATCACAATTGGTGAGCGATTTAAAATGTTTAAATATAGTATCCAGTCCATTACTATCAATCACACTAATGCCACTCCTGTTTCCATATCTTCCCAGCACTCTAAATTAGGCAACCGGGCCTTTTGTTTTTATTGGATTACTTAAATAAATAAGATTATTTCCAGGTTGTTTATTGCCTTGCACTGCAGATCGGTCCATAAATCAATTCCCAGTCAAAAAGTTAGATGGGTAAAAATGTAGCTGTTCTTGTCTACCTTCATCCATTCTTCCCTTCAGGGTCATAGGTCATATTCCCCCTTTGTGCTGGACTGTTATCTCCTAGAAGGTGGGGGAGAGGGGGGAGGGGGAGCCTATCTTCCTTTGTTGTGCC